TCCTCTTTCTAAAAATCAGTATAGACATGACTACAATGCAAACTGTGATTCTGGACCAGGATTGATCTTCCTTCCTTCTTTCCTTCTTTCTTTTTTTCCCTTTCCTTTTCTCTTCTCTTCTCTTCTCTTCTCTTCTCTTCTCTTCTCTTCTCTTCTCTTCTCTTCTCTTCTCTTCTCTTCTCTTCTCTTCACCTGCCTATCACCATAAAGGACATTAATGAGATAATTACTAAAATTTAAATGAAGTCTATAGATCATATAGTAGTATTATAGCAGTATTAATTTCCTGATAATTTACTGTGGTTATATGAGACTATCATGTTTTCAAGAAAGCGTGGAGTAAAGGGGCATTATGTCTGCAATTATTTTCAAATGGTTTAGGAAAAAAATAATATGTGTGCATATATAGGGAGAGAATAATAACAAAAACGTGATAAAATGTTTTTATCATTTGTGAAATCTGGGTGAAAGATCTAAGGGAATTCTTTGTACTATTTACACAACTTTTCTCGAAGTCTACAATTATTTCAAAATGAAGAGTTTTAAAAAAAAGTAATACATACTTGTTATAAAAATATTAAAGCAGCCCTGGCCAGGCAGCTCAGTTGGTTAGAGCATTGTCCAATATGCCATGGTTGTGGGTTTGATCTCTGGTCAGAGCACATACAAAAAGCAACCAATGAATGCATAAATAAGTGGAACAACAAATCAATCAGTCAATCTCTCTCTCTCTCTCCTTCCCCTCACCTCCATTTCTCTCTCTCTCTCTCTCTAAAATCAACAAATAAAATAATGCGATATGACAGTGTATAAGTGTAATGTAAAAGACCTTAGTACTCTTGCTCTGGGATGATCACTTATATAATTTGTAAGTATAGTTCCTTTTTCTTCTATATAAACAGATATGTATTTCTTAACAAAAATCGGGTTCTATTTTACATAAAACTGTCTTGGTATTTTTCTTCACTTAATCTCTTGTCCTACAAATTTATTTATTATTTGTTTTAGCAGCAATATAGCATTCTATGTAGAATTCACTCTGTTCTTCGTGGTTTCCTCACTCCCATTTCTGTGCTCTTTCAGTAGTGCCATCCAGCCTATTCCCTGGTTTTCAGGCTTCTTTCCTGTAAAATAGTAATAACTGCCCTGCCTGTTACATAGTTATAAGGATAAAACTGAGATAATTAATGTGAAAGCATTTGTAAAAGTTGCAAATATGATATAAATGAAGTTGTGGTTAGGTATTGAAGATGTAAAGCATGATACTTAATTCACTTATGAAATACAACATTAATACAGTTTTTTTAGGGCCCGTGGGTTGTCTTCTTTCTCCTGATGTGCTTCTTAACCTCTCTCCATCCCAAACCCTATAGAGTTCACACTGTTGAAAGTGTTTTTGAAACAGAAATTCTAAAATTCTAAACTTACCAGTTTCATTAGGTTACAGTACCTATCCTTGATATCTCTGTAGTATGCATAATCTTTTATAAAAGTACTATATCACACCAAAACCTTTAAAAACCTTTTTTAGTGATTTCCATTCTAGGTTTATTTTTCCTTTTATTTTAAAAAAATTTAAGTTTATTTTTTCCTTTCGAATTGGGTGTATTTCACGCTGATAGATTTGTCATTGCAGTGGCTGTCTGTGTGTGTGTAAGTGTGTGTAAGTAATTGACCCTAGATAGGTTCTCTTTGCAGTCTGCCAGAGGCTTAGAATAGAAAAGAGAAATATAGAATAGCGTAGGTCTTCTTAGGCTTCCTCCCTTTTCTGGATTTTACACAAGGATGTGGTTGTAGAGTGTAGCACTAGTTTTAGTCCATTTTATCTTGAGGCTCATGCACAACTTTCTGTAGTCCACCATTTTACCATATTACAAATTAAGACAGAAAATGTAACACCATTCCTATTTTATATAAAATAACCATAATAAATCCATGAGAAGAGTGATGTGGTTTTATATTTTTGCAGATTTCTTTAATGTCAGGTTTAAATAGAAGACACTTTGAGAACCCCTACTTTAGCCCGGGCCAGTTTGGTTCAGCGGTTAGAACGTTGACCTGCGGTCCAGAAAGACTCAGGTTCAGTTCCCACTAAGGGCATGTACCTCGGTTGCAGTTTGTCCCCGGCCCTGGTTGGGTCATGCGGGTGGCAACCACTCAATGTGTCCCTTTCACGTCAATGTTTCTCTCTCTCTCTCTCTCTCTCTCTCTCTCTCTTTCTCTCTCTCTCCCTCTCTCTCCCACCCTCGCACTCTATCTGAACAAAAAATAGAAAAATGTCCTTGGGTGAGGATAAAAAAATAATAATAAGAAAAAAAAACCCCACTGTAGTCAGAGCCAATGGCAGGCAGACCAACTGGAGTGATAGTTGGGCACCCAGAACAAGGCTGGTTAGATTCATTTCTTCCTAAAGAACAGTCAAAACAGATTGGGAACAGGTGCTTGGTAATCCTCCAGGTGGAAAGTGTATTTATCATCTTTGCTGATGTTGCTTTTGTTAGGCACCCTTCCCAGTCACCTATGCATCTCTCCCTCTACCTTCATTTTAAGTGTACTTTGATAAAAGCCCCACTATTAGTCCTAAACATTCTTCTTGTGCATTGCAGATCATTTATTCAACAAATATTTGTTAAGCTCCTGCAGTGTGCAAGGTGCTGGGCTGGGTCTGAGGATAAAGCAAGGAACAAAATGGGCAGCTCCTTTGTTCCTGTGGACTTTATTTTTAAACAGTTAATTACACAGAATATTATTTAATTATAATTTTGACTAAATATTCTTATGGCACAGCATGCTATGTGAGCATATATCGGTGTTTTTACTTTGGGGTCAGGGAGGGCTTTGTTGAGGAAGTGATGTTTATGCTGTGTGCTGAAGGATGAGTAGTAATGGAAGTGTTACCTCATGTAGTTTAAATTGCACTTAGGTGGGGATTTTGTCTGTGACTTAGAAAGAGATGTAGAAAAGTGGAAGAATTAACCCTGAACAATTTTGAATGTTCCTAGTTGAGGGAAGTAACAGCTAACAGTTTGGAAACAAGTATGATTATCTGAGTAGATCATTGTGGAATTCAGTTGGATTTCCATGACGATGAGAAGTTTATACTACAGAGCAGTACTTTTCAAATTTTATTTATTTATTTTAATTTTATTTATTGTTTTTAGAGAGAGGGAGGAAGGGAGGGAGGGAGAGAGAGAGAGAGGGAGACAGACATTGATTTGTTATTCCACTTATTTATGCATTCATTAGTTGCTTCTTATATGTGCCCTGGGACTGGGGATTGAGCCTTCAATCTTGGTGTATCAGGACAACACTATAACTAACTGAGCTACCTGGCCAGGGCCTCAAATTTTAATGTATGCACAAATGGCCTAGGGAATCTGGTTAAAATAAAGGCTTAGATTAAATAGACCTGAGGTGGGCCCTGAAACACTGCTTTTCTTAAATGCTCATACATGATGCTGATGCTGCTGTGCCATGGACCACACTTTTAGTAGACTATCATTACACATAATAAGATATAAGCAGGAATACCAGCTGGATAAGAGGCTGGATGAATATTCTAGAGGTGATGTCCAATAGGGAGAGGTATTTGATGACAGAAGACAAAGCACTTCGGCGCAAGAAGTATCATGCTACCTACAGAAAGCTAAAAGTGATTCACAGTTACAGTTACAGAGAGGACAGGAAAGCTAGGGATTGAGATAGATGGCCACCAGCACAGCCAGTTAAATATTCCACAGTCATTTCTGTGGTGAAGACCAAGTGAACTAAATGATCATTAGTCTGCCTAGGGAAAAGGTCAGGTACTGAGGATTGATGACCACCCTGTGGTAATTATGTGGACTCCAGAAAATTATCTAAGTGACAAGTAGCTAAAGATACCAGAGAGGAAGGTGCACTTTACTTGTAAAAGAAGGACGTTCAATACTACTTTTCATTATTCATAGATGATTAATCCATAGATGGAGGGTACTGCTAAATAGATTCAGGTAAAAATAAAAATAAAGGTTGTAAATGGCAAAGGTAGGAATAGAATGGAGAAAAAGGGAATCTGATAGTTAATATCCACTTAGAAAGAATCACCACCATTAAGCCTATTAATTGAACAAGTCTCTTTTTTATTTTACTGGCACCCAAATAAAAGCTTATAAGACCATCAAAAAACATTACTGGTCTGACCTTATTTCATGTATTATGGAAAATATCTTTTTGTTACAGTTATGTTTTTAAGTTTTTTTCAAGATGCTTTATAATTCTTAGTAAATTTATTTGGATAAGAGAATTAAAGTAACATCAAGTTAGCATGCCATATTATAAACTGTATGTGTAAAATATTTTATATTTAATCATATTTTCTTCATGGTTTAAAATAAGTATTTCGGAATGCTGTAATAACTTAAAACCCTGTCTACTTTAGAATGTCATTTCTTTGGATTTGGCAAAATCGTATGACCTTCAGTACATTTAAAGAAAGGAATTAGTTAGGGTTTCTATAGTGATGAGCAGTCATTTTACAGTGATGAGCAGTCATAACCATTTTAGGTTACAGTTGTCCCTCACCACTTCACGCTTCGACTTTCGTGGCTTCACTCTATTGCAGTTTTTTCAAATATTTTCATTATAAAGTTGATCGAGACAGTGACAATGATACAGCGTGTGCTTGGTTGTCTGAGTCAGTTGTACACCCCTGTATTACAATAAAAATTAAAATTACTGTACGCATGGACTGTAGGCTTATGTATTCAAGCACCCCAGGAATCCTTTAACGCCAGGTGCAACCGCTAGAGTCTGGAACGAATTAACCACAATAAACGAGGGATGATTGTGCTTGTCTTTTAACTTTTGTACATCAACCTATAGAAGGATAATAGATATAATTTACTGATAAAGAGGGCCAAGAGAATACTGAATCAGGCAACTGTCCTAAACTTTTTAAAGCCCTGTAAGACTGAATTAATAGAATTCAAGACTCGTCCTAGAGTAAAATCAACTTTGTTAATTAGATTGCCTCTTGATTTTTAGACACAGGCCCACCTAAAAGGGGAGGCTGAGGAAAGCTGAGGGTACGGCATATGTTTGTAAAAAATCAAGTTTCCTTCTAAACTGTGACTCAGTAAGAATTGGGTGTCAAGGACATCAAAGGTATGCAAGTTGTTGTTTGAAAAGAAATGAAATATGTTAAAGGAAATCCCCTTGAAGTTACAGAATTGGAAGTGTAGTCACTGTAACAAAGATGATCGTTTTTGTATTGCCTTAGGTTTAAATGATAGAGTAATTTAAAAAATGTTCAGCAGGCTGCCATTCTATGGATAATGCTATTTAAATAGTGACGTGGAATATTGCGGGTTAGACTGGGATCCTGCCATGCCTTGGGAGCTTTTAGGGCAGAGAACAGTTGGTAGTACTCTACCTTTTCCACCTGGGGAATGGTATAACTAGAGACATGATGAAGTACAGCTACATTCCAGAGACAGCCCCATGGAAAAAAGGATTCATCAGAGAAGTAACTACATTTCCATGCTGTTTCTTAGAAACGTGGATGAGGGACTATTGTTTCTTCTTTAAAACCTAGAAACAAGGAAAAAAATCCTTTCAGTTTTAAAGCCAAGTAGCTTGGCAATCTAGTTGCAAACTATATTTGTGTTCCTGAAATGCCTGCATGACTCAGTTGTTCCTTCTAACAAAATATGCCTTTCTCTCCACTGGACCAGTGATGGGATTTAATGAGTAAAAATGAGAGGACCCTGTATGGTTTGCCTTGGGTTCCTCTATTCTAGAGTAAACTTCTCAAACTTATTATCAAGCCTAAAGAGTTCTACCAATAATTAGTATTACAAATTGACCTAGTTGCAAATTATGTATATCATTATGATACCATATCATTGAGGGTTATATGTGTCTGTTCTTGACATCTTTTCCTGTGTAGCGTCAGATGGCACAGAAAGAGTCATCAATGCTGGATCCTGTTTTTGTTGTTTCCTCCCTAGGTATATAAGTGTTTTTGTACCTTTACTTTATTTCAAAATTATTTATTAAAGGTCTTGATTTTTTGTTACTGGTATATATTCAGACAGCCAATTTAATCACATCATTATTGGAATATTTGTATTATGAAACAGCATGTAAATCTAGCCCAAGTCAGAGTGAATTTTATTTCCAGTTCTTATATTTTTGAAAACCTTTGTTTTTTACTCCTCACCCAAACATATGTTTTTATTCATTTTTAGAGAGAGGATGGGGGAGGGAGAGAAAGAAAAACATTGATGTGAGAGAAACATCAATCGGTTGCCTCCCCTACACACCCTGACCAGGCATTGAACCTGAAACCTAGGTGTGTGCCCTGACCTGGAATCGAACCTGCACCCTTTTGGTATAAGACATTCCAAACAACTGAGCCACATGGCCAGGGCTAGAAAACCCTTTTTTTAAATCCTCACCTGAGGATATTTTCCATTTATTTTCAGATAGAGTGGGAAGGGGGAGAAGGGGAGAGAGAGACAGACAGACAGACAAACAGACATGGATTGGTTGCCGGGACCGAACCACAACCAAGGCATGTGCCCTTGACTGGAATTGAACCTGAGACTCTCTGGTCTGTGGGCCTACGCTCTAACCACTGAGTGTTACTGGCCAGGGCTAGAAAACTTTTTAAAAAAAATACCTAAATGTAACCTTTTTTAGAATCGGGTTAAAGACATAGAATAAGGGGCTTAATACTGAATGGAATCTGAAAGTTTCTATTGTCTATTATACTGGAAGTTAATGAACTGGAAGAATGGACTTTTAGATTACCTAAAAAATAAATTTTTAATCCATTTCCTTACCTTGTTTTAAGCTCTGCCATGGTTAGATATATGTTCTGACGGGCTTGTCAAAGTGTATTTGTATTTAACATAAGTCCAGAGGAAACTAGGAGCACACATTTACAGAGCAAGACTGAGATGCGTTAGGGTTTTTTTCTTTAATGTATTTTTTGTGTGCCCCCACAGCCCTTAGTGTTGGCATCTGCTCCCTTAGTTGGTTTCTGGCTATTTTGGGAAGTCATTTGTTTTTAATTTGGTTAATGTAGATGAAAACTACATAGAGAGGCCAGAGGAGAAAGGGAGAAAAAGACATTCTTCAAGCATGTAGGGATATACATCAAGAATTTCAAAGACTTCAAACAGCTGTAGAGAGGTAGAGAAACAGCAAATTTGAAGCCTTTCAACCATGACATTTTCTTCTAATGAAGAACAGTTTGAAAGCTGTAATTTTCAGAGTGTTGCAGTATTTAAAGTCAGACACTTAGAGCATTTTAAAATAGTGGTGAGATTTAATGCCCCCCCCCCCATCTTAAGTGGAATTAAGCATATTTGGTCATTGTCTTATTTTGATAGTTGTGAGTCCCAGAATGAACACCAGAGCTTTGAAAATTTAGATGGGCCACAGCAAAATTTAGATGGACAAAAGCATCTTTTTTTGTCCTTTATCTCTATTGTTTTCATGGTATATGAAGATATTTTTTGTCTCTTTTAAGCAAAACAATGCATTTTTCTCTTTCTAGTTCACAAATGATCATGAATTAATTCTTCATTTTTATATTTTGCAGTACATTTTTATACCTGAAATTTCTGGTAGTGTGGGCACTTGTCCTCCTGGCAGATTTTGTCCTGGAGTTCAGATTTGAATACCTGTGGCCATTTTGGCTTTTCATCAGAAGCGTCTATGATTCCTTCAGATACCAGGGACTGGTATGTTTATTAATACATGTTTTTCAAGTATAATGAATTTAATAACCCTTCTAAGAAAATCTTCAATAGCTAATAATAAAACTGTTTAAAGTAGATTTATTAGTAATACTTAGGTGACTGTATTGAACTAGCCTCTAAGGCTATTTTGTCTAAACCCATTGATCAAATCATAATCCCTCCTCCTCTATCATTACAGTGAAAAGAAGAGGAGGAAGGGAGGACTTCGGGAGGGAGACAGAGTAGTGGAGGAAGAATAGTTGCTCAGTTCTACTCTGGAGCCCCTATCACTGTGTTCGTGATTGGCTTAGAGTTAAAGTGTTCCCCAACCTTTTTGGTTTCAGAACCTGTTTACATTCTTAAAAATTATTGAGGACTCCAAAGAGCTTTTATTTATGGGGGTTACATCTCCATATTTACTATATTAGAAATTAAAACAAAAACTTAAATATTTATTAGTTCACATAAAAAATAAAACAAGAACAAACTCATTACCTGTTAATACAAATTACATTTTTTTAAATGAAAAATAAATATATTTTTCAAAACAGAATAAATAGAAGATTGACTATAGTTTTACAAATTTATATAATGTCTGGCTTAATGGAAGACAGCTGGCTTTTCATATTTGCTTCTGAACTCAGTCGGTTGCAGTATCACATATCATGTAGCTTCTGGAACATGCCACTATATTTCTGAGTGAATGAATGTAGAAAAGGCAGATAACATCTTAGTATTATTATGAACATAGTTTTGACCTGGAAGACCTGCTGAAAGGATCTCTAAGACCCCCAGGGATCCCCAGACCATATGTTGAGAACTACTGGTTTAAAGCAAGGGCACAGGCCTTGTAGTTCTGTTGTGTTCCATAGCCACATCTTAAACTTGTAACTCTTCTACCTGGGCCTGGTGCTTTGGTCAGAGCAAAGCCATGCCTAGAAAAGATGATTTTGAGTTCATGTCCCATTGGTAATAGGTAGAGGTGTGTCCCGAGGAAAGCTGCATTGTTAAAATCATTAAATATGCAGCATAATTCTTATCACTAGTATGGGTCATATGTGCTCCAGCAGCCTACCCTTTAAGAATGAGGCTTTTTAGGAATGTATTGAAATGTGTTAAAATTCTAGTTCTTTTAGGTAACCCACCTGTGGAGCCCAAGTAAACTCACTGTGAACCAAACTCAATTTGTTCTAGTTCAGTTCTTCATGATTTGAGGCCATAAACAGGATCACTCTTTAATATTAAGTTAACCACTACTTTTTATATAGTTGATTTTAAATGTTTAAAATTTCCTGTTATAACTTGCTTTGTAATTATTACATGGCAGTTTCAGAGAATTTGTCCAGCATGTTTTTAATAATCTTTTTGTAAATAACAAGTTCTAAGATGTATTTTTTATTTTGTTTTGTTTTTCCCTTTAGGCCTTCTCAGTGTTTTTTGTTTGTGTAGCATTCACGTCAAATATTATATGTCTGCTGTTCATCCCCATACAATGGCTTTTTTTTGCTGCTAGCACATATGTATGGGTTCAGTACGTATGGCACACAGGTAAGTCTTAATGGTTTCTTAGATAGAAATCTTAGATTCAAACTTTTTAAATGTGGTGATTAATCTTTGAATAAATTATTTAGAGTTCAATTTAATACGGACTTTTTGTTGTTAATCCTCACCTGAGGATACTTTTTCCATTGATTTTTAGAGGGGGGAGAAGGGGAGGGTGAGAGAGAGAGAGAGAGAAAAACATCAATTGGTTGCCTCCCACATGCGTCCCAAACAAATCAGGGGTCGAACCTGCAATCCAGGTATGTGCCCCTTGACTGGGAATCGAACTTGTGACCCTTCGGTGTGCAAGCCGATGTTCTAACCACTGAGTCACACCAGCCAGGGCTAGTGGAGACATTTTAAAGTTGTCTTTTCCTAATAGATTATAATATACCTTTATATTTTTAAAATCTTTTTTTATTATTGAATCAAAAGTTTAAGCCTTTATGATTTGATATCTCCATTGTTACTGCTCTCATCATTTTTTTTCAAAGTTGAAGTGATTTCTATTTAGGTAGACTTGAAAACAGCCATGTGCCAACTAGGAAAAATGTTCTGGGTGTTTCAGCATTGAAAGGAAGTCAGAGGTTATTTAGTTGAAGCCTTATATGGTACAAGAATCCCCACAGCATCCCTTGCACATGGTATTTAATCTCTTATTGAAAACCTACAGTGACAAGGAACTTACTACTGTTGTTTTTGGGCAGTTGTAATAGAAAGTTCTTTTTCATACTGAGCCAGAATTTTCTTCCTTACACTTTTGACCCAGTAGGTCTTGCCTATTTTGGGGCTTGCTTATCTGCTAGAGGATATATAAAAAGGCTTTCCCCAGAAAAAAATATACGGGAATATATAAAACTTTACCTTAAAATTTCAGAGGGCCTACAGGTCATCCCCTCAAGGCCAAACATTGGACCTCGCTGGATTAGAGCCACATTAATATTTCTTTAGAGAATTAAAGACACTGTCATACCCTCTCAAGTCTTCTTTTCTGTAGGCAAAACATCTCTGGTTTCATCAGCTTTTCCTTGTGTGTTATTTTAAACACTTCACCATCCTGATCTCCCTAGTTCTTAGTGGTTTTTTTAACCGGAATTTACTATTTCAGGTATATTCTGACTTGAGTGAAGTTACACAGTCACCTCCCTTCTTCTTAGAGCTATACCTCTATTTCAGACTAAGATGAAATGAGATGTTTTGACAACTCCACTCCACTGTGAAAGCCTGAACTGAACATCAGATGCATGGGGATGTGAGGACTGGCTCTCAGATCATTTAACTTGTCTGCAAAGCTACATGAAATTAGATTCTTAGGCCCAGCTGCAACCTGTAGGATTTTGATCACTTAGGGAACACCAACTAGTAGAAGCTCTCTGGAGCAACATTCATTCTCTTCTCAAAGGTGCTAAGAGGATGGTGTTGGCCCATGTAGAAGACACAATTCAAATCTGTTATTTAAAGTATCGACTGTGAGCATGGTTTTCTCCATCTTTACCAGTCTTTCACATGTGTCTTGATTTATAAGCTAGCATGGCGGTTTCTTAGTGTGCTTTCCTCAAATTAAAGAGAGTTTTTTTTTTTTTGCACACCAGTTTTTACTTGTATTTCCTAGTCTTGGGCTGCGGTTTGGAGTGAGTTACCATTTACAATTATCATTCTTTCTAGGTCTCAGTTTCTTCTTTGTCATGTGAAAGTGGAGTAATCTAGATAATGTTTAAGGGAGGCTTCCAGCTCAGATAATCTGTGACTCTGATGAACTATAATGATTTCCTAAATTACTTTAATAATGTTTCAGTAGTTGAGAAAAAACTACTTATGTAACTATTAATAGGATCTATTGGGAACAAGTTCAGTGGGTGACCCACAGGGCAGCAATGAAGCTAATGTCATAAATGATGCCAGCCTCTCTTTAGCCCTAAGCTCAGAAATGTATGTTGGAATAGCCAAGCTGTGAAGTATTTTTAAATTAGGAATGATTAGTGCTCAAACAAACAAACTTTGTATTCTTATTGGGCCTGACAAATGTGAGTGCAATTTATATAACTCGGGATTAATTTTTCTTCCCGTTGTTAAATTTTAAAGTTCTTTATTAAGAATATTAAGAGTGGCTGATGAAATTATATATTGCCGCAAAAGAATGATAATATTATAAACTTTTTTTCTTGCTGTTAAGAGGGAAAAAATAAGATATAAAACTGTATGTACAACATGACTATTATACTTGTTCAAAAATATTTTCAACATAGTTTTATTTTATTGATAGATTTAGAAATACAGGTATTTTGCCCAAATTTTTTATTTATTTTTCTGGTAATGTGCTTATTATGTTTGTGATAACTTTAGAAATTAATATAGGGAGTAGGGAATATAAATTTTTAAAAGTGCATTTTGAAATGAATTTGACGATGCATTATCCTAAAGGTTGCTGTTTGCCTTCCTACATTGTAAAAATACCTTTTTTTTGTATATTGAATCTATAAGAATGATTGAGCCTATTAGCTACCTTCACAGAGCTTGGAATGTTTTCCTTCTTTATGGACTAGATTTAAGGAGACTTAGGTTTATTCTCCTTAGAAGCAGACTCCATATTATCTCTTTAAACCTGGACCCAATTTATATAAACTCTGAGCTTCACTTTACTCTTCAGTAAAATAAGGAAGTTGGACTAAATGATCTTCTTTCTAGTTCTAAAATTCTATGATTTTTGTTTGTTTGTTTCATCCCAAAAACCCTTAGCAAAAAGCCCTTTAGTCCTTTACGTCACTGATTTTTCCCTCCTAATCTCTCTTTTGTAACTTACTTACTTTATACGGTCTCAAAGGAGCTCTTTCTACAGTTATTGGACCTCATGCCTATATAGTCCATGTTTATAAAATACCCCGTTATTAGTCATATCCTGACAAAGATGGACCTAGCTTACAGATTTGATTCAAAACCAATTAAAATTATTCCTTTTTTGCATCTTATTTATTCTGTTGCAAGCTGCTTTTTTCTCCCTTGGAAACTGTTTTTAATTACAAAAGGAATATGAGCTTATAGTTAAGAAAAAAATTTTTGAGTAGTACTTAAATATCAGAAACATTTCTTTGTGCTGTAATTCAGTCTTAATTTTTTACATATCATATCATTGCATATTAGTACAGATCTTCATTCTTTTGAAAACTGCATCATGTTTTATTATATAGATCAACCAAAATTAAATAGTTCCCTATTGATAGACATTTAAGTTAATTCTATATTTTTACTATTACCAATAATAATGCAGTGTATATTCTTATACATTTATTTCAGGGCCCTTTTATATTTCTGTAGGGTAGATTTCTGGAATTGGAATTTCTAGGTCAAAGATAGAAGTATTTTCAATGTAATTATACTGCCAAATAGCCTTCTAAAATGTTTGCCTCAGTTTATATTATTGCCAGGTATGAGAATGAATCCTTTCCTATACCTTCCCTATATTGTTACATATCTTTTAAATTTGTGCTTATCTGATAGATTAAAAGAATGGAATCTTTTTTTAAAAAAGTATTTTTTCTTTATTGATTTTAGAGAGAGAGAGATAGAAACATTGATGAGAAAGAACATCAACTGGCTGCCTCATGCATGCCCCCCCTGGGGATTGGGCCCACAACCTGGGCATATACCCTGACCGGGAATCGAACTGGTGACCTCCTGGTGCATGAGTTGATGCTCAACCAGTAAGCCACACTGGCCAGGCTGGAATCTCATTTTTAAAGTTTGCATCTTCATAATCAGTAGTGAAGTGGAGCATCTTTTTATGTATTTTTAGTCATCAATGTATTTTCTTTTATGACTTGCATTTATTGCCTTTCTGTTGATTTATAGGAGCTCTTTGTATGCTAAGGCTATAACTCCTTTGTTTTACATATATTGTAAATATTTTCTGCCAGCATGTTTGTCTTCTATTTCTTTTTTATTTTATTTTTTTGTTAATCCTCACTCAGGCATATTTTTCCATTGATTTTTAGATAGAGTGGAAGGGAGAGAGAAAGAGAGAGAAACAGTGATGTGAGAAAGACATTGATTGGTTGCTTCCTGCACGATCCCAACTGGGGCCAGGGATTAAACCAGCAAAACAGGTATGTGCCCTCACCGGGAATTGAACCCACAACCCTTTGGTCCATAGGCCGACCTCTAACACTTTTACTGCTGAGTGGGCCAGGGCTCTTTTTTTAAAAAAAATCTTTATTGGCTTTTTGTTTGTTTCTTTGTTATCTTTATTAATCCTCACCTGAGGATATTTTTCCATTGAGTTTTAGAGTGGAAGGGAGGGAGGGGGAGAGAGAAACATCGATGTGAGAGAGATATATCGATTGGTTGCCTCCTCCCGACCTCAACTGGGACTAGGGATTGGACTTGCAACCCCAGATACATGCACTCTTCTTCTTTTAAATCTTTATTGTTGAAAGTATTATAAATGTCTCCCCTTTTTCCCCCATTGACCCCCTCCATCCTGCTCCCACCAACCCCCCCCCCCATCTTTTATTTCTGACTATGATCACATAGCATCTTTTGTCATATAAAGACTCAATTTGGGTTAAATTGCTTTTTATTTGGTTTGAAAGTAACTGTAGTTGACAGTCTTTGAAACAACTTATCTGTTCTGTTAGTTAATATATCATTGATGCTTATCTCTCTGCTGCTTTCCCGCAGAAAGGGGAGTATGTTTGCCCACAGTGTCCCTCTGGATACTCTTTGTTTATATTGAAGCAGCAATTAGATTTAAAGATCTCAAAAATTTTCATGTAGACCTTTGTCGTCCATTTGCTGCTCACTGGTAAGTATTATGAATATTCTTTTTTAATTTTTAAAATTGATTTTGGCGAGAGAAACATTGATTTGTTGTTCTACTTATTTATGCATTCACTGGTTGATTCTTATATGTGCCCTGACCAGGGATCAAACCCACAACCTTGGCATATTGGGATGTTACTCTAACCAACTGAGCTACCCAGCCAGGGCCTGTATATTCTTAATCTATAATTCAATTAAATGTTTTTAATGTAAATGGTAAGTTCAATTATAAATTTTTTTCTTAGAGATTTTACGTGAACCCAGAAGACCACATAACATGGTAGTAAAGAGCATGAGCTCTCTATTCAGAAGATAGATGAGTGTTTGAATCCTAGCTCTGTCCCTAACAGCTTTGTTGCCTTGAACATGTCACCATCTTTAAGCCTTAGTTCTCTTGACTATATATTGGGGACCTGACTCATGGGTCATAGGAAAGATGAAATGAAATGATATATGTAAAGTGTTTAACTTAATGCCAAGTATATAGATGTCTGATAAATGTTATCTATTTTTATTATAATCAGATATTGATTCTAAAAAGTATTGATGCAATATATGGCTATTTCATAAAGTTTAAATGAACTTATAATTTCCTTAGCTAATTTACAAAAGCAAGAGAATAGCATTAATAATTAAGGGAATATTCTTTTTTCTTATGAAATATAAATGATATTAAGATATTTTATTCATTTAACCTTAACCATGAAACTTTTTTTTAATCCTCACCAGAGGATATTTTTCTGTTTATCTTCAGATAGAGTGGGAGGGAGGGAGGAAGAGAGGAGCACCAATGTGAGAGAGACACATTGACTGTTTGCCTTCCACACGACCCTGACCAGGGCCGGGGACCGGACCGCAACCAAGGGACATGCCCTTGACCGGAATAGAATCCACGACTCTTGTCCATGCGTAGGCTGACGCTCTAACTGCTGAGCCAAACCTGCCAGGGCAATCATGAAACATTTTTTAAAAAATGACCTTGAGTCTTATTTATATCTATTATGGAAATCACTACTTAATGGGTATTTCTTTTCAACACACCAATTTTTTTTTTTATCCTCAACCGAGGACATTTTTGCATTTATCTTCAGATAGAGCAGGAGGGAGAGAGGGAGGAAGAGAGAGAAAAACATTGACGTGAGAGAGAGACATCAACTGGTTGCCACTCACACAACCCCAACTGGGGCCGGGGACAAACTGCAACCAAGGTACATGCCCTTAGCGGGAATGGAACCCGGGACTCTCTGATCTGTGGGCTGACGCTCTAACCATTGAGCAAACGGCCAGAGTCAATACACCAATTTTTTATAATATTTATGGCCGACCCTAATATAAACAGGAATCAACTAAAAAAAATAGTTTCCAATTTTTAAAAGCCTTTTCAAAAATAAGTAAAATAGCCCTGGCCGGTTTGGCTCAGCGGTTAGATCATTGGCCTGCGGTCCAGAGAGACCCAGGTTCAGTTCCTGCTAAGGGCATGTACCTCGGTTGCAGTTTGTCCCCAGCCCTGGTTGGTCGTGTGGGTGGCGACCACTCGATGTGTCCCTTTCACATCGATGTTTCTCTCTCTCCCTGTTCTTCTCTCTCTCCTTCCCACTCTACCTGAACAAAAAATGGAAAAATGTCCTCGGGTGAGGATGATAAAATAAAATAAAATAAGTAAAATAAACCTGTTCAATAAAACTTGTCACTTACATTTGTAGTGAGAATACTTACCTGGCAGTGGAGATACCATGATCACAAAGGTGACTTTCCCAGGGTGAAGCTTATCCATTGCACTCCGGATGTGCTAACTTCTGCAGTTTCCCCAAAATGTGGGAAACTCGACTATATAATTTGTGTTAGTGGGGTACTGTGTTTGTGTTCTTCCCTGCCCCTCCCCCCTGCAAAAAAAATTGTAGTGAAATCACTTATAGACTAATTATGATTAATAAGTTTTAAAATTAATGAAGTTTACTATGAGTTTTGATAGTGTTTGCAGAGGCTTTGAAACAGACTGATGAGTTGAATGAAAATATTTCAACCTTTTATTCCAGAGATTAGGGTTGTAAGTACAGCTGGTTTAATTTGATGTGACAAACCAAGTGTTAGTACTGATAATATCAGATACTTATTTAAATGATAAACTGTTTATGAACTAATTTTCCAGGAATAGCTGGTGATAGTACCCCTTGGGCAGCAAGAAGATTAAATTAGGCACTTGAATTTGACCCTGTCTTCTGGTATTAAAAACCAAATGATGTCCTTTTGATTTTTAACACTTACTTATAATATTTACCAATGACTACTTATAAAATCTTTACCCTGTTAGATCTTAAAAGCATACAGATGCCCAAATTCTAATAATGCACAAGGCAGTTCAATGTTAACCAAAAACATTGCCACTGTATCCAGTAGTCACTGTGGTATCTTCTTGAGTTAGTTGAAGAATGTCAAAGTCTGATGGGCAGCCTCTTATGGTCTTACGGTCCCACTGTCTCCTGGGGGTTTGTTCTGCATGCCAACTGCTTCTAATTTCCAGCAGATGTCACATTTATTTATGTGTTTACTGAATGCTCAGCTATCATCATCATCTAGAGTTTATTAAATTCAGTTGTAGGTATCCTCATGTGCTTGCTGCATGTGTTTTTTTTGTAACTTGCAATTATTGGCTGGATTGTCTTCTTTCTAGTATTGGGTACCCTGTGGTGACTTTGGGCTTTGGCTTCAAAAGTTATGTAAGCTACAAAATGCGGTTAAGGAAGCAAAAGGAAGTACAAAAAGAGAACGAATTTTACATGCAGCTTCTTCAACAAGCCCTCCCCCCAGAACAACAGATGCTACAGAAGCAAGACAAAGAGTCTGAGGAAGGTAGGTCTTTACCTAAAGCTATTGGCTCAATAGGTTAGTCATTACTATATTTGTCAGTACAACTTTTTTTTTTGAAAAGTTGCTAGGACTTCAGGAGATTACCAAGGATTTCCTGTTTTCCTATATTCCTTTTTAGAGCCATCGCTTTGTTTGGTCATGAAATACAGAATGCAGATGATGTTTTCTACCCAGTATCTGAAGACCATGTACCTTTAAATATGTTTATTTTATTCTTGTAATAGCTTATTTAATATTTTATTTGTTACAAATATTTTTAAGTATTTATTCTCAGTAGCAAAATAGTATGTATAACTGTGTGAGTTTGTAACTGAAGCAAGCCAAGAATCAAAGTATAAGATGGAAAAATAAACAAACAGAATTGTTTTATAAGTCAAAATTTTTTTGAAAGATGGATCCATCCCATTTTAAATGGTTTATATAATGCAGTGTGGAACCTATTTTTTTTCAATCCTCACCCGAGAATATTTTTCCATTTATCTTCAGACAGAGTGGGAGGGAGGGAAAGAAGGAGATGGAGAGAGAGAGAGAGAGAGAGAGAGAGAGAGAGAGAGAGAGAGAGAAACACTGATGTGAGAGAGACACATCGATTGGTTGCCTCCTGCATGACCCCGACCAGGGCCAGGGACCGAACCGCAACTGAGGTACATGCCTTTGACCAGAATTGAACCCGCAACTCTTGTTCGCAGGTCGACGCTCTAATCACTGAGCCAACCTGGCCAGGGCTGCAATGTGGAACTTAAATTGAACCTTTTCTATAAAGATCTCTCTCTGAGCATATAATCAATTCAATAGATGAACTTACAGCAGTACCAGTTTTCTTTGATTTGAGAGTTGGAAGTTTGGGGTCATATTTTTAGTTTATATATGCCAAATCTTATTCTGTGGTATGGTGCAAAAATACCACCTCAAGCTGACTTTGACAAATTGGAATGTGTAGAACTGATAGAAACTTTTTTTTTTTTATCCTCATCCGAGGACATTTTTCCATATTTTGTTCAGATAGAGTGGGAGGGAGAGAGAGAGAGAAAGAAACATCGACGTGAAAGGGACACATCGAGTGGCTGCCACCCACATGACCCAACCAGGGCCGTGGACAAACTGCAACTGAGGTACGTGCCCTTAGTGGGAACCAAACCCGGGTCTCTCTGGACCACAGGCGGACGCTCTAACCGCTGAGCCAAACCAGCCAGGGCGATACAGAAACTTTTTTACAAGAGACCTAGTAAATGATACAAACTGCTTATTACATCAGTGCTAGGTTCAAGAAAAAATGTAGATACCACCCTGGCAAGTTTGGCTCAGGGATTAGAGCGTTGGCCTGCAGACCAGAGAGTCCCAGGTTTGGTTCCTGCTAAGGGCCCGTACCTCGGTTGCAGTTCGTTCCTGGCCCTGGTTGGGGTTGTGCAGGTGGCAACCAGTTAATGTGTCTTTCTCACATCGACGTTCCCCCCCACCCCCTCTCTCCCTCTCTCCCTCCTACTCTATCTGAATATACATGCAAAAATGTTTTTGGGTGAGGATAAAAAAAAAATGTAGATGCTCTGGATTCTAACATCACACTTCTTTTGTTTCATTTAATCTCTTTCTTTTAGTAAAGTTATTAAATTTGTTTAATCTAAGCATCTTTTAAAATATGGCCTCTTAAGAATATGATCTGTCTGTGTTCTCTCATCCCAGTGATAGACAAGTTTGACTTGACTAATGAGTGACATATGATCTAATCATAAAATACTCATCTTATTTTTGAGGCAAAACTTTTTTTTTTTTTTTAATCCTCAACTGAGGACATTTTTCCATTTTTTGTTCAGATAGAGTGGGAGGGAGAGAGAGGAAGAGAGAGAGAGAGAAACATCAATGTGAAGGGACACATCGAGTGGCTCCCACCCGCACGACCAACCAGGGCCGGGGACAAACTGCAACCGAGGTATGTGCCCTTAGCGGGAACCCAACCCTGGTCTCTCTGTATCGCAGGCCGACGCTCCAACCGCTGAGCCAAACCGGCCAGGGCTGAGGCAAAACTTTTAATGGTTTGGTGTTTGTAAGTGATGGCACTTTTCTAAATGTTCCGCTTCCCAAATTTATTTGGATTTGCTTTTTGAAGTTAGCATGATGTGGTGTAGTTACTGCTTCTAAGTGAATTTGCAAATTAATGTAGTGAGTTTCTAAGTGTAGATAATACAGTTTGTTGAATCAGTCTATTCTGTGTTTTTATACAACTGAATATTCCAGTGTGGGTTTTTTGTTTGTTGGTTTGTTTTTGGTATTGTAGCAGCCAAAGGATTACCTGATATGGACTCCTCGATCCTTATACACCACAACGGAGGGATCCCAGCCAACAAAAAACTCTCTACAACTTTGCCAGAGATAGAATACCGAGAAAAAGGGAAAGAAAAGGACAAAGATGCCAAAAAACACAACCTTGGAATAAATAACAACAATATTCTACAACCTGTAGACTCTAAAATACAAGAAATTGAATATATGGAAAACCATATCAATAGTAAAAGATTAAATAATGATCTTGTGGGAAGTACAGAAAACCTCTTGAAAGAGGACTCATGCACTGCTTCCTCAAAAAATTACAAAAATGCCAGTGGAGTTGTGAACTCCTCACCTCGAAGTCACAGCGCCACAAATGGGAGCATTCCTTCTTCATCTAGTAAAAATGAGAAGAAGCAGAAATGCAGTAGCAAGAGCCCAAGTACACACAAAGACTTAATGGAAAACTGTATTCCTAATAACCAGCTAAGCAAACCAGATGCACTGGTAAGGTAAGTGTGCCTACTGTGTCCTTAACCAACACTTTCCAATAAACTTAACTTAGGTCTTGAAAAACCAACACTTCAGTATGGGCCTGCAGGAATTTATCTGATCAGACACTATAACTGTAAACTCTGTGGCATTTGACATTTTAGTGTTGATTTCACAAGTGTTTGTTGACCACCCAGTGCCACTGTCCTGAAGCACTGACTCCGGCTCTCTCCATTGTTCTGAGTAAGAAGTGACAGTGATTACTTTCCACATTTGACAAATTTACATGTAACTTGTTTTCTAGTGGTATGGAGAAGCATATCTCTAGTCTTTGTCCTTTTCTTTTGCATATTCAAAGTTCTTGTAGCATAGACACAAAGAGTGTGTGTCCTGTTGATGCAAATCTCTTTGTCAGATAGACACCAAAAGGGTGATGTAAAAATGTCCTTACCACCTTGTGCTTGTTTTTGTTTTTTACTTAAAATGCAAATTATCCCCCAAATAACTCTGGGGAAGTTAGGTTTGAAAAGTAATCTCTTTCTAAAATTTTCATAAGTAAATACAGTGTTAGACATGGATTTTAATCAGAAATGTTCCTTTTTTATCTTTAATTAAAATAATAATATTGTTGTATGACCTGGATTGGCTCAGGTTTAATTTTGCTGTATTTTATATTTTTATGTATTCTATAAAAAAACCCATGTTCCTTCTACCTCATATCTGTAAATTTGGAAACCAGAATCTGAACTGGAGCTTTTAAAAATATGTAACTCAAGAGGGCAATTGTAACTTCCTCCATAAAGTTATCTTATAATTCTCTTCCTTTAGCTTGCTTAAGAGCAGACAATGCATTCTAGGAGGGAAAGTTTCCAGTGTTATAACTTATATAAACTAGATTATTAATTTATTTTAATTTTCTCATTGGTAGCTAGATTTAGGGAAATATATTTGGGTTCTACTGCTAAAGGCTCTTGAAATTTTATAGCCCCCAGCCACTTTTGGAAGCATTCCATGTTATTGCTGATGCCAGGCTGGTATCCACATCTGTTTGTTATGACATTCTGCCCATCGTGCCCTATAAAGAAAGCACTCAGCAGAGAACCCTCCTCTAGATGCCCGTGGGAGAAAGACCAATTAATTGACCTTTTATTTCAACTATCCTACAAATTTACTATATGCTATAAATAAAAGCTTTTGATATCCTTTTGATACCTATCACAAGCCTTTTGATATCCTTTCTCCTATACAATTTTAATAGTAGCAGTCAACTCAAAACAATTTTCCTCTGTTGGGTATTGCAGAGAGAGCAGTCAAGGCTCAGTTTTATGACACCATCTCACTTGGGCCCCAGTTGTGGTTGTTGATTGACTCTACTGCCTGATCTGCCTTCAGTAAAGAAGTTCAAGGACTCACTCAGATGACCAGTCTTCCAGTACGTGGTGGGTCCAGTGCCCCCGTGCCTCTCCCTGTGGTCACTAACGTGATGTGCCTGATGTGAAGGGTCACAGAGTATTACTCTGTTTTAGGGAATACCTTCTGTCAAATACATAAATAGAAAATATTATATGTAAATAGTTTTATAAGCTTCCATAGGAGTATTTTCAACGTTTAATGTAATATAAAAAATAAGGAGATGATCTAAGTATCCAACAGTGGGAGAAATTGAAATAAATTATGGTTCATCCATTTGATGGATTTTTTTTTAAGAGAGTGGAAGGGAGGGAGGGAGGGAGGGAGGGAGAGAGAGAGAGAGAGAGAGAGAGAGAGAAGAGAGAGAAGAGAGAGAGACATTGATGTGAGAGAGACACATCAGTTGGTTGCTTCCTGCACTACCCTGACCAGGACTGGGGATTGAACCTGCAGCCCAAGTACGTGCCCTTGACCAGGAATCAAACCTGAGACCCTTCAGTGCACAGGTTGACGCTCTAACCATTGAGCCAAATGGGCCAGGGCTTTTAATACAGCCATTACAGAAATATAGTTTTAAGCTATATTAACAGTATAGGGAAGTGCTCATGACAATATTTTATAAAGAAAGTAGAAAGCAGTTTCATTAAAAACATTAAAAAATATATACTGTACATAGAAAAAGGTTTTATTTATTTATTTATTTATTTATTTTTATCCTCAGCAGAGGACATTTTTTCATTTTTTGTTCAGATAAGTAGGAGGAAGAGAGAGAGAGAGAGAAACATTGACGTGAAAGAGACACATTGAGTGGTTGCCACCTGCACAACCCAACCAGGGCAGAGGACAAACTGCAACCGAGGTACGTGCCCCTAGCAGGAACTGAACCCGGGTCTCTCTGGACCGCAGGCCAATGTTCTAACCACTAGCCAAACTGGCCAGGGCCATAGAAAAAGGTTTTAAACGGAAAGGAACCAAAATGATAACAATGGTTATTGCCCCCTGGTAGTATTGAGGCTTTATTTTTTTCTTTTTACTTTCATGCATTTTCAAGGTTTTTTATGATGAACAGTGATAGTTTATAAAAAGAAGACTATCTGAGCAAATTATCCAGCTTGGCTGTAGGAGGCCTTATCACACTTCCTCTTGCCCTTCTTGGCTATCTCCTGTTTCCTCTTGTTTGACTTCATGATGAATATTAATAAGACTGTAACTGATCCAAACTTGACATGTTTGAGTTGTTAGCTAGAGAATGGGTTTGTAGTCTTCAGAAGAGGGCTGGACTTAATGGTCTCTAAGGCTCCTTCTGATGCATCATAAACAGGCTGACACTGTGTATGTGAGCCCTTTCTTATTGCACATACACCTAGGGTTGTGCACAGGTCCAGGCTGGCTGTAGGGAAAAGATTGAACTACCCTTTTACTTTTTTTTTTTTAATCCTCAACCGAGGACATTTTTTTTTCTTTTTTATCTTCAGATAGAGTGGAAGGGAGGGGGAGAGAAAGAGGGAGAGAGAGAGCAAAACATCGATGTGAGAGAGACACATTGACTGGTTGCCTCCCAAATAACCCTGACCAGGGTCAGGGATGAATAGCAACCAAGGTACGTGCCCTTGACCAGACTCGAACCCATGACTCTGGGCTCTGGGCCAATGCTCTAACCGCTGAGCCAAATCAGCCAGGGCGACTGAACTACCCTTTTAAATATATATTTTTAAAAATCATTTGAAAGCCATTACTGTATATTAGTAGTAAATTAATTGTAACACATTCTACAGCTGTGTCTTTCTCAGTATCATGGTTGAGAACTGCTATATTTGAGGAACCAATTCAGTGACTTTTGGGGGGGAATTCATTAGTACACTACTTTCAAAGAGAATTCTTGTAGATTAATAATATAGCTATCAAAATAAGGCTTGATGGCCATTCCCCAAGAAAGGGCAAGAAATCCTTCAGGTCTTTTTTCTATTTCTCCAAGCTCCATGGATGTTCTCTAGTGTGCTATACACCACAGGTTGGCTAATGACTACACACAGGCCAAATCTGGCCCACTGCCTGACCTTGTAAAAAGTTTTATGCATTTACGTAGTGTCTATGGCTGCCTTTGCACTACAGTGGCAGAGTTGAGCAGCTGCGTATGACCTACAAAGCCAAAGGTGTTTATTATTTACCCTTTACAGAAAACATATGCTGATGGATCACTAAGGTTAAAGAATGTAGGTGAAGTAAGGAACTTGGGAATAGTGTTGCCTGTCGGATCCTTCCCGGGAAAAGTTTGGGGACTTGCTAAAGCCAGTCCAAAGTCCTCTTGGTTTGAGAAATACACATCTTACAAAATGATCTGATTTCTGCCAGTTGATTTCTGAATTCTTTACCCAAGATATTTAGAAACAGACTTATAATTTTGGTAGCCAAAAATACTTTTTTTTCGTTCTTTCTTATTTTTAATGGCTGAATAACATTCCATTGTGTGTGTGTGTGTGTGTGTGTGTGTGTGTGTGTGTGTGTGTGACATCTTTTTTTTTTTTAATCCTCACCCAAGGATATTTTTCCATTTTATCTTCAGATAAAGTGGGAGGGGGAGAGAGAGAAACATTGAGTGGAAGGGAGGGGAGAGAAAGAGAGGGAGAGAGAGCATAACATTGATGTGAGAGAGACACATCGACTGGCTGCCTCCCGAATAACCCCAACCAGGGACCGGGGACGAGCCGCAACCCAGGTGCGTGCCTTTGACCAGAAATGAACCCACGACTCTTTGGTATGTGGGGCAATGCTCTAACCGCTGAACCAAACTGGCCAGGGCACCAAAAATATTTTTAATTCTGACATGGGAAAAATTCTAGGCAAAAATAGAAGCAGTAGTGAGGAAAGTTAGTTTTAAGCTAAGTTTTGGATTAGAAAGGAACAATGTAAATCAGAATGAGATTTGCTTAAGTTTTTTCTTTAGTCGTCATTAAAAAAAAATCTTAAGTGTGAAAAACTTATAGAAAATTTAGGTAGAGAAAAGATGAAAATAGTCCCACCATGATACAGATTACTGTTAAATTTAGTTATATTTTCGTCAGCTACATTTATATCATTGTGGCCACAGTGTTTGTGTCATTTTTTTGTTTTTGTTGTTCTGCTTTTTTCACTTAAATCATACAGAAAGCCTTTTCCCAACTTAGCCTAACCCTCATTTTCACTTGATTGGAATATTCCACGGCAGGTCTGTGCAGTCATTCAGCAGTCACTCTAAGACTGGGCAGATCGCTGTGGGACACCTGAGCCACTTTCCTGCAGTTTCAGGGCCTGCAAGCAGGAGAGCCAACAGTTTTGTTTGCACTTGGCACAGAGTTCCCTCTCAAATACAGCCCAAGACTGTGGGGTTTCTTGTTGGTGATTGTTACTTGTTTCAGTTTTCCTGGTAAGGGATAGAATTTAAAACTTTGAGTACAAAATGTAAAGTGATCCATATTCTGTAGAAGTGTTGAAGCAGAAGTCTCTTCTTGGTTTATTTCCATTCCACTTTTTTGTACTCAAGACAGAAAATTCATCTTTTTTATTTTCAGTGCTAGTTCGTTTTTGTTTTTTTTAATTATCTTCACCTGAGGACATTTTTCCTCTTTTTTTT